TCGTGACCCACCTGGGCAACTTGGTGAGACCTCATCTCTACAATAGATCAAAATGAGCCGGGTGTGGTAGCGCGTGCCTGTAGTTCCAGCTACTCGGAAGGCTGAGGCAGAAGGATCGCCGGAGTCCAGCAGGTCGAGGCTGCAGTGGCCAGGAGCGGCCACCGCACTCCAGTCTAGGTGACAGTGTGAGACTCCAACTCAAAAAACACAAACAAACAGATGAGGACTCGCCAAGTTGCCCAGGCTGGTCTCGAACCCCTGGACTCAGGCAGTCCTCTCGCCTCTGCTTCCCAAAGTGCTGGGATGGCAGGTGTGAGCCACTGCGCCTGGCTGATTTTTGTAAATCTTTCACAAATTATTTTCAAGATTTGTAAAAATTCAGGTTGAAATGAAAAATATGGTAAGCATAAATGCATACTGTGTGGTGAATCTAATGAAGAAGGGTGGCTTTGGGGTTGTTAGGTCTTTAATACAACATCATGATAGTTTCCAGATTCTTTCATGCTTCATGGACCTAAGTTCTGCGTGCCAGATCTGATATCATTGCCTTTGAGTCATTTTGTGAATGATGCTCTGCCAGTTTAAAAACTAGTACATGCAGAAGGCGAAAGTTGCTGCTGATCTGAGATTGGAGCGTTGTGAGGAGGGACCCAGGTTCGCATGCTTGTGGGCCACCCCTAGCCTGCCACCTGTTTTTGTCAATAAAGTGTTACTGAAGCACAGCCCCAGAGGCTGTGCTTCAGTTGCTGGAACAGCTGAGTTAAATAGAACTGACAGAGACCCTGTGGCCCACAAAGCCTGAGCATTTCCCACCTGGCCCTTTTCAGAGAAAGTGTGCTGACCCTGAGAGGGCATCCAGGCTGGGAGCAAGTCGGATGTGAGGGGCCTGCGTCCAGGCCTGGACTTCGCTGCCTGCTAGCTTGTGCCCACAGGGAAGTTCCGTGTCCTCGCCGCCCAGTGTCCCTCTGTGAGGCGGGAATTGTACTGCCCAGCTTGAAGGCGGGCGAGGACTAGCTGGCACATGTGCTGTAGAGATGTGACGTCTTATGCGTGGCGGCTGCTCTGGCAGATGCCGTGCTCTCACTGGCCTTCCCTGCCTTGCTGAAGGGTTGGCAGCGCGTGGGGTGTGTTGGCGTGGGCCGAACCTGAAGAGGGCGATTGGCAAGGAGGACGTTTTAGTGGCTTCTGCCTGCGGCAGCAGCTAAAAAGCATCATGTGAATGCCAGAGGTGAGGGTGGAGCGGTAGGACCTTGTAGATGGCAGCATGTGCAAAGAAGGAGAAGGCAGGCCAGAGGTGACAGTCTGTATGGAAGACAAGAAGCTAGACAGGGATGCTCAGAGACAGAGCCACTCTGGGGACGCGTGTCAGGGTGTGGGGACTGACCCCACGTGCGGTGGGGGGGTGTGGTGCCCGCTGAGAGACAGACGGGCATTTCTGTCTTGGCAGGTGAGCGTACTGGAGTCTTCTTAAAATGGTGTGTATACAGCAAGGTTCTCCCTGGAGAACTCTGTGTGAGTCGCTGTGTCTCAGGGCTTTACAGTTCCTGAAGGGCTGAAAAGACTGTTAAGGTTGCTCCACCACCAAACGGTCATCTCAGTGTGTGCCCTGAGTCAGTGCTGCGTGTGGACTTGCATAGCATTGCTGGAAAATGAGCTGTTCTTCACAAGATAATTACTCAGATTATAGAAGGTTGCCCTTTTAAGCATTAATACCTCTTTTTTTTCCCCTTTTTTTTGAGTCGGAGTCCCCAGGCTGGAGTTGCAGTGGCACACTCAATGGCCCACCGCAGCCTCGACCTGCTGGACTCAGGCGATCCTTCCGCCTCAGCCTTCCCAATAGCTGAGGAAGCTGGAATTACAGGTGTGTATCCCCATGCCCAGCTTATTTTTTGATTTATTGTAGAGATGAGATCTCGCCAAGTTGCCCAGGCTGGTCTCGAACCCCTGAGCTCAGGCAGTCCTGTCACCTCTGCCTCCCAAAGTGCTGGGATGACAGACTGGAGCCACCACGCCTGGCCTGCATTAATATCTCTTGATAACTTTTATCACAGATCTTTAAAAAAAAGACATATTTTCCTGTGCGCTGAATGCAACCCTGTAATTCAGTTTCTTCTCAGAAGTTCCAGAAAATCTTTTTGTTGTCAGTTGTGCACTGTGTCCTCTGATACTCTTCAGTGTCACCCGGTTTCGTTCCGTAAGACATCACCAGAACCTTTCTTAAGTGCATTTAATCATCTAAAACCAAACAGCAAACCTGGAATGGGGACAGTTTTGGCTTCTCCGGTTGGTGTTCGGGAGCTGCAGGGCCTTCTGATGCTCTGGTTTGCCCACAGGTAGACATCATCTGTGGCGACCACCTGCTGGAACCGTTCCAGACCCTGCGGGAGATCCGACGAGCCATCGGTGACGCAGCCATGCAGGTGGGTCCTGGCACGCCACGCCACGTCGGATGGGTGTCATTGCGTGAAAGAAACAGGGCTTGCTGTGGTCACATCCTTGCGACTGCTCCACCATTTTCTTTTTTTTTTGTTTATCTTTTTGAGTTGGCGTCTCACTCTTGTCGCCCAGGCTGGAGTGCAGCGGAATGCTCACGGCCACCTCAGCCTCCACCTGCTGGACTTAGGCGATCCTTCCACCTCAGCCTTCCAAGTAGCTGGAACTACAGATGTATGCCACCACGTCCAGCTGGTTTTTGAGGTTTTTTTGTTACTTATTGTAGAGACGAGGTCTCACCAAGTTGCCCAGGCTGGTCTCAAACCCGCGGGCTCAGTCAGTCCTCTCGCCTCAGCCTCGGCCTCGCCAAGTGCTGGGATTGCAGGCTGAGCCAACGCACCCGGCCTCCACCGTTTTCTTAACAGTCCCCGCCCTGGGTGGCTCTAGCTGACAGCGACCGAAGTCTGACCACACGCCAGTGCTCTTCCCTGAGGCCTATATGTTGGCGCCTCTCCTGATCGTCCCCAGGCCAAAGACGAGGAAGCTGCGGTGCGAAAAGCACTTGTATCTTCCACAGTGAGTCATGCCAGCCAGGCCCGGGAGGCACCGCTCTCCCACCCAGCACTGCAAGGAGTCTGAAGGCCCCGGGCCGCCTACCCAGAAGGCGCTTCTGCAGGCAGGCCTGGCCGTGTCCCTGGGCTCCAGAGGCTCGCCTGCCTCTCTTGCTCAGGGGGTGACTGCCTGGGTGTTTTCGTCAACTTGTCATCTGAGCAGGAGAGCGGTGTGAAGTCTCCTCATGGGGCAGTAAAAGCAGGATCGCGCCCGCAGTTTCAGTGAAAGGCAAGGTGGGACCCTTCTGTGTCTTCCTGAACCTGTGGAGGCCAGTCGTGAAAGATGAGCGGAGGTCTGATGAACTCTGAGTCTCACAGACTTTTCACCTTGTTGAAGAACAGTTCTTTGTTTGGTTTAATTGCCTGTGCCCACTTGGCTCGGTGGACCAGCTACTTAGAAGAAGGTGCTGAGTGTTTTCAGAATGACCTTAGTGTGGCTTATGCAATCCCTTGGAAGAAGTGGGAAATATGCCCTATACATGTGCATATGAGTGACTGAAGTTTTTTTTGTTTTCTGTTTTTTTAAAGCGGGATTTATTGAGAGGACAGAAAAGCTCCCACAGTGGGCAGGGACCCAAAGGGTGGCCCGAGTGATGAGTTATAACGGACTTGCGGTGACACAGCCCTCCACGGTTGAATCCAGACCCCTTCCTAGACACGGACACACCTTCCCTCTCGGAGAGCTCTCTCCCGCCGCTCCTGGCCAGTCCCTCTCCCTAGCTCCAGGGCAACCAGTCAGGCTCTCATTTTTCCCTCACCATAGATTCATCTTTTTAAAAATAACAGTTTTATCGAGATATAACTCACATGCCATACAGTTTATTCCCCCCCCTTTTTTTGCGTCAGGTCCTCTGTTGTCCAGGCTGGAGTGCATTAAATTCTGGCTTATAGCAGCCTCGACCTCCCAGGCTCCAGGTGATCCTCCCTCCTTAGCCTCCTAAGTAGCTGGAACTACAGGTGCAGGCTGCCATGTCTGGCTCCTTTTTGTTTTTGAGTTAGAGTCTCACTCTGTCACCCAGACTGGAGTGCAGTGACTGCTCCAGGCCACCACTGCGTCGACCTGCTGGGCTCTGGCAATCCTTCTGCCTCAGCCTTCCAAGTAGCTGGAACTACAGGTGCATGCTACCACGCCCGGCTGATTTTTTGATTTATTGTAGAGATGAGGCCTCGCCAAGTTGCCCGGGCAGGTCTCGAACCCGTGGGCTCAGGCAGTCTACTCACGTCGGCCTCCCAAAGCACGTGATTACAGGCTGAGCCACTTGGCTCAGCTTCTGGCTACTTTAAAAAATTTTTTTGTAGAGACAAGGTCTCTTTATGTCACCCAGGCTGATCTTGAACCCCAGGACCTAGGCAGTCCTCTTGCTACCACCTCCCAAAATGCTGGGATTACAGGCATGAGCCACCATGCCAGGCTCAATTCACTCATTTAAAGTGTACACATTTCAGCCAGGCTTGGTGGCTCAGCCTGTAATCCCAGCACTTTGGGAGGCCGAGGCGAGTGGATTGCCTGAGCCCACAGGTTCGAGACCAGCCCAGGCAACTTGTTGAGACTTCATCTCTACAATAAAAATAAAATGAAGTGTACACATTTCAATAGTTTTTAGTACTCAAAAACCATTGAGTTGTATACTTTACACTTAGGCTATATTAAATTTTTTTAAAGCTGTTTTTTTGTCAAGAATAAATAACTTTCACTTACTGTAACTTTTCTGTGACTGCGGTAGGGTTGTTTACACAAGTGCTGTGACAGGCTGCCAGGTCACTCAGTGACAGGAGTTCTCCAGCTCCATCGTAATCTCGGGACCACTGTCATCTCAGTTGTCTGTTGTTGGCTGAAACAAGGTCATACAAAGCATGACCATCTATATGTGCATCTGTGTATATGTACATAAAATAAAATCATCTTTTGGTTCTAGCCATTGTAGTGGGTATGCAGTGGTATCTCATTCTGGCTTTGATTTTATTTTCTGGATGACCAGTCATGTTAAGTGTCTCTTTGCGTGTTTATGGGCCACTTACATGTCTGTGGAGAAATGTCTATTCAGTTTTTTTGCCTAATTCTAAAATCAGGCTACTTGTATTTGTATTGAGTTGTAAGAGTTCTTAGCTGTTCTTGATACTAGTATGATTTGCAGGCATCTTCGCCCATTCAATGAATGTCTTGATAGTGTCCTTTGAAGCACAAAAGTCTTTAATTTTTTTTTTTTTTTTTGAGTTGGAGTCTCACTCTGTCACCCAGACTGGAGTGCAGTGGCCACTCCCGGCCACCGCAGCCTCGACCTGCTGGGCTCTGGCAATCCTTCCGCCTCAGCCTTCCAAGTGGCCGGAACTACAGGCCCGCGCTACCATGCCCAGCTAATTTTTGATTTATTGTAGAGATGAGGTCTCACCAAGTTGCCCAGGCAGGTCTCGAACCTGCGGGCTCAGGCAATCCACTCACCTCAGCCTCCCAAGGCACGGGGTTACAGGCTGAGTCACTGAGCCCGGCAAAAGTCTTTAATTTTAATGCAGTTCAGTTTATCTATTTTTTGTTGTTGTTTGTGCTGTTGGTGTCATGTCTAAGAAATCCTAGCCTAGTCCAAGGTCATGAAGACTTACACCTGTGTTTCTCGTTTGTACCGTAGACTAGCCTTGCTTCCTAGAATGTCATGTAACAGAAACATACCTCATGTGAACTCCTGTGTCTAGTCTCTTTGACTTGGCATATGTTTGGAAGTTCTTCCATGTGGTTGTGTGTAGCCACGGTTTATCCTTTTTATTGATACATGGAATGTCAAGGTATACTGCACTATACATTATCCATTCTCCTATTCACGGACACTTGGGCTATTTATGGTTTTGGGTGAACACAAACTATTTGTATTATGAAAATTCTTGCACAAGTCTACCCCTCCTTTTTTAATAAGTCTTTATGAGAACATGTTTTTATGTCTCTTGGATAAATATTGGAGTAGAATTGCTGGATCATCAGGAAGGGGGGAGGTATGTTTAGTTTTTTATTTTTGAGTTGGGGTCTCACTCTGTCACCCAGGCTGGAGTACAGTGACACAGTCACAGCTCAGCACAGCCTCGACCTCTTGGGCTCAGGTGATCCTCTCACCTCAGCCTCCCAAGTACCTGGGACAACAGGCAGGTGTCACCGTGTCCAGCTAATTCTTCCATCTGTGAGATCCATCCAAGTTGTATGCACATGTCACTTTTTTTTACTCACTCTGTTGCAGATTTGGTTGACATGTGCTTACGACTTGGATGGACCTCACAGATGGAAGTGCAGGCGAGAGAACGGTACCCAAAGAATAGCCGGCAGGGCCCCGTCACTCAGAATCGGTCCATGCCTGCATTAGGGTCTGTTGTAACCCCAAATTAGCCTGGTGCCATTTCCTGAACATTCTCAGATAAGTGCAGAGCAGTGGCTGTTTGGGCTCACGTCGGACAGGGAGCCACTCGGCCCCTTCTTGCTTTAGCTCTGTAAAGAAAGCCTCCTTTCCATGGTGTATCGAGTGCCATGTTTTTCACATTTTTGTGTCGTTTTGGTGATTTTGCTGTTTAAGGTAGTCCTGTGAGAGGACTGCTCTGGACCAGGAGTTTGAGACCAACCTAGCACCATAGCAAGACCTCGTTGCTACAAAAATAAAATAAATTAGCTGGGCATGGTGGCACATGCCTGTAGTCCCAGGTACTCGGGAGGCTGAAGCAGGAGGATTGCCTGAGCCCAGGAGGTCGAGGCGGCAAGGAGCCATGATCGTGCCACTGCACTCCAGGCTGGGTGACAGAGTTATTCCCAACTCAGATAGATAGATAAGACAGATAGTTTAGATAGATTGCCCACCCTGATCAGAGTTCCAAGTCCTGTCTGGTCAGGATGGTGGCACTATGCCTCATGGAGACAGTGTGGGTGAGGCCAGCATCACTCAGAAGAGGGTGCGGTGGTTGTGAGGTCAGTGTTCGTGAGTCAGAACTGTGTGGAATTCGGTGTCTCAGACAGAAACATCATGCAAGGTCGTGTGTCAATCAGCTAGTGAGAATGGCCAGAGGCTCGCAGGAGCCTAGCCCTGTGTTGGCCAGGAGCAGCACACCGGCATCCACCACACGGGTGTTCACTGTGGCTTCAGGGAATGTCACCACCTTGACTAGCGAGACTCTGTGCACTGCAGAAGTCCTTCTCCATAAAGCCCAAGGACAGGCAGTCCTCACCTACACCGCTGAGGGACATGGGGACGTGGGCATGAGGGAGAGGTACTCCATATTGTCATGGGATAGTGGTTGCATGTGTGTATTACATGTGAAAAGTCCATCACCTCATAAGACATTTTTAAACAGGAAGAACTAAAACAACCTTGAGCTTCAGTAGCAAGTGTGGTGGGCGTGTGGGCTCT